CAAAATAAAGGAATGGGATAGCTATAGTTCAATAAAATCGGCAGATGAAAACACTAAAATCAATGATTTTTTTCAGTGGCTGTGTGACCTTGTGTCTGACACATTCATATGCAAATGACTAATCTGTGAAATAAACAGGGGTGGAGACAAACCACTCAAATGTTTGAAAACACTCATTGTGTGTCAGATAGCTACTGATAACACATCCTAACATTGCTTTGTCTTGAGTTAATCTTTGAAACTTATAGGCACACAAATTAAACCTGTGTTGTTGATTTTAGAAAACACTACTGAAGCTGCCTTGCTTCCCTTCAGAAAATCTACATTTTAACCAACTTGCATGACATTTTAGGTTACGTTGACTTTGTCAGATGAAAGTTTATCGTGTATTTCATCAATTAATAAATAAATGTGAAAATCGTAATTTTCAACACAAATAATAGTCTCGCTACCTTAAGTGGGCTAAAACATGCAAGTAAACAAGGCAATAATTATACAGACTTGTACTCTAAGGGAATGTCATAGATATGTTATGACGGATGGTTAGTGGATCTAGAGACATTCCTCATGCTGTGTAGAAATATACTATGCATAGTACAGCTAGTTGGCATGCCAGTACTTGCTGCTTGAATGTCTGCTACTGTAGTAAAGAGGTTTTCCCTATTATGAACTTTGCAGGAGGGTTAAAGTAAATAATTGTTCACTGCTAAATTTGTTTTTCTTGTTAAATTATCTAGAAAAGCAATGTTTAATTCATCAACATACAAGCATAGAGCTACTAATAACATAATTACTACATAATTATATAACCTTGTGTTTACTCACCTGTTATTGTTTGATGTCCAAGTTCAGTATATTTATATGCTTCCTCCATGGGTAATATAGAATTTTTATAAATATACTTAAGATTTTTTAATGTGTTGTGAAAAAGTTTTTCATTTTCTTCCTGTTCATCCAGTAATAATGTTTTGTCGATATGTTTTCTGTCACGGTCAGCATCATTCTGAGAAGCCGCTATATGACAAAAATTCATTGTAATGATTATTGTATTGATCATTCAGTGCCATGTGATGGAATATTCTGCTACCAAAGAATTGAGTACTAGATGAAACACTTTACTGAGGAGGTGGACATTCAGAAATTCTATGGCCACACATTTGGAAAAATAGAAAAAAAATACCATCATTATTAAACATGAAAAGTGTACTTGCAAGCCAAACAGATGGGGGGGGGGGGGGGGGAATTGTGAACACAAAAATGGGGAAAAGAAGCTTATCTTCTCAAACCTTAATTAAGATGATGGTTTTTATCACCAATGATCTTAATAACCGACCTAGAGATTTAACCCTTATTGGTCATGTCAATGTCACGGGGGGTGGAGGGGTTGAGATACACTCATTATGATACAGATATTAATATATAACTAGTGAACTTTATCTATGTAGGATATTTAATACATTATAAAAATAACTCCACTATTTGTCTGGTATCAGTTGACACGTACATGCCAGACATGGGTAACATTTTACACAATGAACACGATTTTCTAAATGATGTAACTACCGGTAGTTTCGTTTAGACAGATCTCAGACTAGTTCTGAGGACATATTTAACATTACTCTTTTCCTTGGTCGCGTCATGTGAACTCTTGAACCCCATTATGCAATATATTTTAATACAGTGCTAAAAGTTTTCAGGTAAAATTGTTTGACTAGGATTGAAATAATTTTAAAAATCGTATTTTTTTGTTTTGAACAAAGAATTCATCGAATCCCATTGTGTAATCTCATTAATCAGTATTATTGTACCTAATGTGTAGACCACATGTCTGGGCGTGATTTGACTTCATTTCAGTCGATTGCAATATTATATCACCATTTTCTTTTTATACGAGTTCATTTAATCACACGACTTACCTTGAACTGTTATCACAAACGCAAACAAAAGAAAAAACAATGAAAAACCACCAAACCGGCAAGACAACATACAGCTGATGGAAGCCATGTTTGTGACCCCCTAAGCTGGTTGTAAATGTTACAGTAAACCTCTAGACTCGTACAAAAACGTTGTAGAAAGGTTTTCAAAGCAATCAAACTCCTCAGCGAATTTTGTTTGGCTGTTTTTTTATTAGTTTCATGAGTTTTGCTTTAAACATGCGAGTGAAAAAAGTAAAATACTGTATTGTTGGTGAACTTGTGAATTTTGTACCATTGAACATTCAACTAGCGATCTAGATAGATCCTAGTCTGGGATTTGTTTTATTGCCCGACGCAGTCCGAAAATGGGGACTTATGTTTTGACCCCTGTGCGTGCGTGCGTGCGTGCGTGCGTGCGTGCCTGCCTGCCTGCCTGCCTGCCTGCCTGCCTGCCTGCGCCTGCCTGCCTGCCTGCGCCTGCCTGCCTGCCTGCCTGCCTGCCTGCCTGCCTGCCTGCCTGCCTGCCTGCCTGCCTGCCTGCCTGCCTGCCTGCGTTCGTGCGTGCGTGCGTGCGTGCGTGCGTGCGTGCGTGCGTGCGTGCGTGCGTGCAATCAATCACAATCAAATACAAGTCATACATTTTTTCTTTTTTCTTTTTTTAAATGTGTTTGTGCCAGGCAACAGTTCCGGACATTGAATGTCACTGTTGTCTCTCCTGACCTATTTTTGTAACTTGAACTTGGGTCTACCGATCAGGAGTCTGATGCGACAACCACTATGCTACCAGTGACATGCGTCATACATGATATTATACATATGCACATCAATTTGTTTCATGATCTAATTCAAGATGGCCGAATGGCGGCCATTTTTGTGCTAAAAAATCATCGAAATCAAGCATTTCTTGGCTGTTTACAGATGGATTTTGTTCAAACTTGGTATAATTATAGTTGTTACAGAGCAATATCTCCCAATATGGACAAGTACTTGTTTGACAATCAGATACAAATGTCAATCATTTTTATGTTAAACAATCATCATAATCATATTCCTGACATGGTTATATTCCAGCTATATTACTATAAACAAAACTATATATTTTAAATTTGATAACTAACTGGGACTGTGCCATGCATGGCTTGTTTTAAATATGCATTCAATTATTTATGTACTTAATTTAATTTTATTATTTATTTCCTGGCAGTTTTTTAAAATACATTAATTAAAATATTGCAAAATAAGATGTACATAATAAAAAAATATATTATAAAATATCTCACAGTGATGAAAATTTATATGCAAATGGCATTAGATTTCGAAGATTGCTTTTCAGCCGAAAAAAAAACTGTTTGCAGTGGAAATATTTTTTTCATTGAAGATAAATATTTGCTGTCTGTTCTGATCCCTGTTAATTCACCTCATTTGTTTAGCATGGTGTCGGGCCCTGTACTAATGGGCTTATTTCTCGGACGTGCTAGGACCAATCAAACTTGGCACAAGGATGTAAGATTACAGCTTATACAGGTTTAAACCACTTGGTTACCATTTTATTTCTAAAATACTAAATCATTGCACTATTCTAGAACCCAGACTTTGGGTGTGTATAGAAAGGAACTGATGCATACAAGACCTTGAATATAAATATTATTTATTTTCTTTACTTTTTATATACTTCCAAATACATGAAATTTTGTTTTACTTGCCTGATTGTGAATAAACAATTTTCAAAAATGATTTTCCTTAGCCATATTTGTGATTGTGAATTATTACATTTAAACTCTACACATGCACATTACATCTTGGTACAGTTAATAAAATCTTACATCTCAATTTTTTATAAAAAGTTGCTCAAAATATATCGGTAAAGAAAATAAAATAGTGTAAATTCGTTCTCAAATACAATAACACTGTTCTCAGATCCATGTTTAATCATATCACCATGGCACGTCGTTGTTTACAAACAAATGAGCCTTTGCATTTTTTAACGTGCGTTGTTATCGTCACTTGGGACAAGTGATGACCCCTTCGCTTAAAATGTTGTGTAAACAATGTATTTCACCTGTCAAATGCTATGGAATACAATGCAGCTTAATAACCATCAACATTTAAGTTTTTATTGTTATTTATTTATTATATTATCCTGCTCCTGAAATTTACTTCAGTGAAATGTAGAATCGCATCTCTCCATATAAACATGAAAACATCTTATGTATATTGCATACATTGCTGAACTAAATAATTTTGTTTGTATCTAGGCACAAAAATTAGCATTGCACAAACGTAAACAAGAACGAAAAAAAGAAGAACGAGAACTCAAGGCAAGACTTGCAAGAGTTAAAAAGGCCAAGGAGGCGCAAGAAAAGGCCAGACAGGTATATTTTCATTAGTCCCTGTTGGACAAAGTCTGAAAACAAGGACTTGTGTTTTCTCATTTTTTCTTGGATATGCCTATACAAGTTGGTTCATAATTTTCTACAAAGACATCTGCATGTTGATTTGTTTTTGCTCATGACATTTGTAGCTTCATTATGAGAGCACATGTATCTATCATTCTTTTCTTTGGTTGTTTT